ATGTGGAAAGATACTGAAACAGTGTTGTGTGAGAAAGATACTGAAACAGTGATGTTGAGAAAGATACTGAAACTGTGATGTTGAGATAGATACTGAAACAGTGATGTTGAGATAGATACTGAAACTGTGATGTTGAGAAAGATACTGAAACAGTGATGTTGAGAAAGATGCTGATACAGTGATGTTGAGAAAGATACTGAAAATGATGTGTGGAAAGATACTGAAACAGTGATGTAGAGAAGTATACTGAAACAGTGATGTTGAGAAAGATACTGAAACGATGATGTTGAGAAAGATGCTGAAACGATGATGTGTGGAAAGATACTGAAACAATGATGTAGAGAAGTATACTGAAACAGTGATGTTGGGAAAGATGCTGAAAGGGATGTGTAAGAAAGAAACTGAGACAGTGATGGGTGCGAACTATACTGAGACAGTGACGTGTGAGAGATACTAAAAAAGTGATGTTGGGAAAGGGATGTGTGAGAAAGATAGTGAAAAAGATGTGTGAGAAAGATACTGAAAAAGTGATGTTGAGAAAGATACTGAAACGGTGATGTTGATAAAGATACTGAAACCGTGATGTTGAGAAAGATGCCGAAACAGTGATGTAGAGAAAGATACTGAGACAGTGACGTGTGAGAAAGATACTGAAACAGTGATATGTGAGAAAGGTACTGAAATGTACTTACGTATTTTTCTTTCTTCAATGACCATGGTGGCTTTTTTATGCAGGTTAATTTTAGCTGATTCTAGATATCTATTTCTTTGCTTTCTATACTAGTTACATGTACATTCTATACACACCAAGTAATCAAGCCATGTCTGATTTTACACTTTTTATATTTGTTATCAACAGCTATATTATATTGCTCAGCAAAAGCTATCAACTGACCTTTTCTAAATTCTCGATGAGACAGCTCAGATTCTAGAAATCCCTTAAAGCGGGGGAGTCGTCACCTGCGCATGCGTCAGATGGCCATAGCGTGTTATTGTTTAGGAACAATCGTCTAAATACGAGCCTTTGCGTTTTTAGCTCGTGTTGCAATCGTCGCAGGTAACGACCCTCCCGCTTTAACGTAATGACGAAATGTTTGACAATAAATTCTTGTGCATTTCAAAATAACCATTCATGGTGTTTTGCGTTTTGACAATAGGTTAGTTGAATAAACTGTGATTGGTTGTTTGTAAACGCACTCATCGATACTCGCTGCTAGTTTGGGAGAATATAATGGAGGCTAAGTATTTTTAATTAATAATGTTCAGGTCATGAGAGGTCACAAAAAGCTTTCTGACCTTGTAGTGTTGATTGGTCGGTAAGAGTTCCTTAGAGCCCCCTCACCCATACCTCCAAACCTAAGCCTGCCTGCCCCTCGAGTGCCCATTCCCCGTTACATTGGTATATGTCTTTCTTTGAAACACTTATAGATATAGAGGGACAAATCGAATTACGTGGGGGCTGGAGGGTTAGGGTTCAAGTTAAGGCCTCAAGCAACGTTTTTCGTCTCAAATACCTGCCACTTCAAACTTTCATACAGTCTCTTGTTTGTTTTTCTTGCGTTTTTGAGTGAATAAATGGCACGAAACGAACAAGAGACTTGTCATTCTTGTGACACTATTGATATAGCAGCACAGGTAACTTTAAGAAATTTTCACTTCTTCAAAATTATGCGAATAAATGATTCATTTAACAACGAATTTAAAATCATCTCCTTTTCTACTCAAAAGTAACATCTGATAATAATAATAATAATAATAATAATAATAATAATAATAATAATAATAATAATAATAATAATAATAATAATAATAATAATAATAATAATAACTTAATTGCATGCTTAGAAATACAATGTTTCTATCAGTTGATTGCAATACAGATTAGTTGTGATAATTACTACTATAAAAGGAAAGAAAGTTGCTAATGAGATAAAGCAAGTGTTACTTGTAATTTCTGGAGATCATCTTTCTTGTGGAAATGTAATGTCTTGTATGATATGTTGGCGTATTATTATGAATTGGGAGCATATCATAACAAATTGCAGTTCATCTTCTTTTTCATTATGTGTACATTGCATGCAAATTCTGTTTCAAGTTCAACACATCCAAGAATTTTTTTCCCTCAAAATTATAGGAATATAAGTCCCCAGTTTTGTTTTTTCAGTTATATTTTTCTTCAGAGATTGATAACTTTGCCAATTTGCTTTATATTTATTTGTTAAAAAATGATGTTCATTTTGTCATCATTGTTGTATTTAAGAAAACACTTGTAAATTGGATTTCTTTTGTTTAAGTTAAAGAAAATTGCTTTAGAGGTGGTTGCTGATGCTTTAGTCAGTATATATTGTAGGGTTGGTGTAAGTTAAAACAGTAGATTAATGGAGTGTGCCCTATATTCTCAATCATTTAACCACCGCATTATGACGATTAAATGTGAAGAAAATATAGGTGCAGACTATTTAAGCAGGATTGACAATCACTGTTACACTGAGAAATGTAAATTTATTGGCAGTTGTTGCTGATTATTGGATTGAAAATGTGCCATGTTCAGTCTTGATTAAAGGGCAATGTCAGCATCCTTTATTCTAAGTTTTTGTCATTTTATCATGGGAAGAAACAGTGTGCATTGCCGTGTGATAACTGTCATAAAGGTGATTGACAGATCATACTTGTTTACAACTTTGAAAGAACAATTGGAATCTACCAGGTGTGCTGTTATTTGAATAAAAACAGATGTTTATGACCTACTGAGTTGTCTACGTGACACAGCAAGATCACATTATGATTGGCTCATGTGGAAACCCAGGTGGTGTCCGTGAATCTGGGCCATTTATGCCTATAAATTGAACGGACTGAGGACAGTTGGGGTCCATCATTTTTACTGTGTATCCTGTGTGTGGCTGCTGCGATATTGTAATACAGGCTTCAACCATCATTCTGTGAGACTTGTATGAACTGCTCTGCGATCACCTGCTTTCAGCGGTGCCCTCCAGAATAACAGCGTTCCTCTGCAAGCAAGACTCCTGTATTTTTTCGTTGTTGTGTTGCGGAAGCCATTGACATTGACTGTCCCTAGGCAATCCCCTATTTTAGTGACTTTATTTATTGTATTTTTCTGTGCTTTATTTCTTGTAATTATTTTGAGAGGTATTAAATCCAGGAGCTTTGACTCAATACTTGGGTGTATTTGTATTTCATTTCCAGTACTATTGTCTTGTCTACCCCATACTAGCAGTGAAAGAGCCCCCTGTCCAGAGTTCTGTGGGTGCCCTCTTATTAGCAATAAGCAGGCCTTACACTGTGACAAAGATATGGCTGTTTTGTGGTATTATTGATGCCAATCACCATTGACACGCCGCAAACCAACCGATCTGACACATATCGCGTGTGGATCTATGGGAAAAGTGGTCAGAACTATTTCCACATTGTGTTAACACAGATGGCGCTATTCGGTTTGTTAGCGGCGATCTGCCCTCTGTCGACGATAAACGTGATTTCTTTCGTTTTCATATATGTTGAATAAACAATGTAATTTAAATACACCATTTACAACCCCGCAACAAACCCGTATCACGGACAACCCCATTGAACTTATATAAAATATTACCTATACAAAAGTTTAGAAATTAAGCAAAAAAAATCACACAGTGAATAAATGTCCAATATTCCAGTTTTTCGCTTTTATATAGGCTTTAATTGAATTTAGAACCTAAAAAGAAATATCAATTTATCTTTATAGGAACATTAAAGCAAATATTCTATTTTATAACATGCACTTTAAATAGATCGTTACTATGACAAACCTGATAACCGTTCTACTCACTACTGTGTGCATTTGGGTCTGGCGTTCAAACGGGTCTTCAAAAGGATAAACAGGCATTGAATCATCTTATGACGAACAAAAAAAATTCACTCCCGAGAAATAAGGTATGAAACTTCGAAGCAGGTTTGTACTTGATTTCACAAAACACATTTATCCCACTTGTTTCATGCTGTGTACTTTGGAATCAATATATAGACTGCGTAACAATGGGTATGCAATGGCGGCCATGTTTGTTTAATAGGCATATGCCTGATTACAGATTTGAGGTCAATACACTTATTGCTCGTATAGAACCGTATGATTGTCTTATACTTTAGCTAATATCAACGATGAGTTTTGCGATTAGCATGTTGTATGCACTGCAGTAAAATCGGGGGTGAAAAGCGCTTGTGGAACAACAAAATACCCCATGACAGTAATATCCTCGTTCCTTGCCATTTAACGGAGGTGTGTTAGGGAACTTTCTGGTTTTCACATGTATGTTAGCAATATGAATATTCATAACAATATGTGACGTTTCAGTCAATGTCACTGAAGTTCATGTTGAGATACGAGAAAAGCATTTCGACTACAGAAATCAACGCAGAAACAAAGATAACATGTTTTCGGGACATTTCACACGTCTCTCTCGTGGAACAATTGCCTGGTGACCTCAAATAATTGTCATTATCCTAATAACATAACCCGGAAAAGACACAGACACTCTTCAATACGGTCTGAATGTACTTATTTAGCGAAAGCTGGAAGATGATTACGTTATTTCCATTTAATTTCAGAATATTCAGATCACGACTGGAAAGTAATGTCAAGTAATGTAATGTTTCGTGAGAAGAAAACATGTTGTGGGATTAACAGAATTTTGTTTATATCGTGTTTGGTGGCAGCGATTGTCATAGTCGCCATTATTATAGTAGTGGCTGTAATCCTAGCAGTAGATAACTCAAGTGAGCGCGTGTACAACGTTGGTGGCGCAGAATTGATTGTTGATGACTCAAATGAAGTTACCATCAAAATAAGTAGCGTTCGTGGATTGGTACTCGAGGGAACTTTAGGAATTAATTTACCAAATGATCAGGAGTATGACCGTTGCGATGACGACGACGATGGGGGTACAATGCTTTGTCTTAGGTGGGATGATGTCGCTATGTTGAAGTTAACAACCACGGAAACAGGGGAAACTACCTGTTACGACATCTATTGGTCATCTTCGTCACGTGACCACGAACCGCTGGACTGTTTCTTGTTGACAGGGGCACACTGGTATGGCAGTGCAGAAATGTACTATCAATTGTGGCCCATAGAAAAATGGAACGAGCCAATGACAGTGTATCTCTCAGGCGACATGCTCGCCAATCCTACCGACTATGGTTCTGTCCTGGAACGCTATTGGCTCTCCTCACAGGGTGTTGGAATTTTCGTCGAAGAAGACGTGCCACTTTTTGCGAGCTTAAACTACCAAAACGATAGCAAACTTTGCTACAAAGCGAAGTACGAGGAATCCGCATACCCAAATCGAGACAAAAATCCACCGTTTATGAAGTACAGCATATGTACGAACACTAATATTCGCACCGCTCACACATACATGAGCTCTCGTTTCTTTCAGAAGCCTAGCAATATCCCGGATGAACGCATGATGCGGTTACCAATCTGGTCGACATGGGCCCGCTACAAAGTCAATATAAGTCAGGAAGTGATACTGGACTATGCACAAGAAATTTTAGAAAACGATTTCCCGAACAGTCAACTAGAAATAGATGATGGATGGGCAACTTTATACGGCGACCTTCAATTCGACCCGGTTAAATTCCCCGACCCCACGCAAATGTGCACTGATCTGCACGCGATGGGATTTCGCATAACTATCTGGACACACCCATTCGGGAACTACGACTCGAACGCTTTTGCCCACGGCATCGACATGGAAGCGCCACACTACTGGGTGCGGGAACCTAGAGGTGACGCCCCGGGATTGGTGAGATGGTGGAATGGCATCGCCGGCATTATTGATGTCTTCCACAACAATGCATATGACTGGAACGTCGAACGGATGGAAGCGTTCTGCGCCGACGTTGGCATCGATTCTTACAAATTTGACGCTGGAGAAATTAACTACCTGCCTGTGGGGTTTGTATTGAGTGAGAAAATAAACAATCCATGCGAATATACAAAGAAACACGCAGAAATGTCCGCGGAGTTGGGCAACATGGTTGAAATCCGAGCTGCCTGGCAGAGTCATCACTTGCCCATCTTTGTCAGAATGATGGACAAAGGCTCGAAATGGGGATACGACAATGGACTAAAAACTGTCATCAATACCGCCCTCACATTTGGCATCCTTGGCTATCCTTTCGTTCTCCCCGACATGATAGGAGGAAATGCCTACAACGAAGGATTCCATGGCGATTATAAACCGGAACAAGAACTATTCATCAGGTGGTTGGAGTTGACGGCATTTCTACCCGCCATGCAATTTTCAATATCACCATGGCAATACGATGACCCACAGGTGACGGAAATTGCGCGGTACTGGGTTAAATTCCACAACGAAACAATAGGGCCGAAGTTAGTTGAACTCGCTATGGAGGTTACGGAGAATGGATCGCCAATAATTCGACCTCTATGGTGGATCGCACCGGAGGATGAGGTAGCTTTGACAATTGATTCTGAATTTCTTGTCGGAGACGACCTACTAGTAGCGCCTGTATTAGAAAAAGGGATGACGTCACGTGACGTGTACCTGCCTGAAGGTAGATGGGTAAACGAGCTTACAGGTGAGGTAGTTGATGGCGGACAGTGGTTCAATGTTCAAGTTCAAATACAACAAATTGCTTATTTTACGAAGGAAGAAAACGTACTTTAACAGTCTCTGTAATGTACGATGGGATATCAGTTTTAAGATAGAATCTGTTTCATCATTGAACATTTAGCAATTTACTGTTACCGTTTAACTGCATCTATATGTACATATTAAACCAATAACCAATAATATATTCGGAGACTGGTCGTGGGGAGACTTGTATCCTCGGGGGCGGAGCTACGTCACA